ATTTTTATGATAACATTTCTGCCAGATGTTACTGAATTAATACTGAAAACACAAGATCCATATATGGTTTAATCTGAATGTGATGTGTGGAGAATTAAGCGTTTTACTGAATTAACAGATTTACATTCGATTTTGAGTAGCTGTAGGAATCTTTCCTATTATTTTCGACAATTAAATCTCTATTGTGTTGCAATCACCAATTTAAAGAATTTAGATTATAATTTTACACATATACATGAGATTAAATTGTTTATATTGATTTTTTTTCTCACCGAGATGAAAATTAAAATAGTAGTACTCTTATCTTGATAACTTCATTGTCTAATAATCCTTTTTGCATATTTAAGCCCATTTTAACAAAACTGTGTGAATATTAGTAACTGTGATGAGTCTGCATGCAATAATCATCATAATAAAATTTTACACTGTGACATCCCTAATAGAGATTGTTTAAAACACAGCTTGAGATTCATTAAAGCTTTATTTGTGAAAAAATAAAAAGGAGCTTTTCCACTGCTTTCTTTGTATTAAGACCTCTTTAGAAGGAGGTAAACGAGAACAAACTGTACAGATGAGTACACTTATTACAGAGTCTTTAAAAGATGGCTGGAGATTGATGAAAAGAACAAGACGTTTTGCTAAAAAGCTGCATTCTCACTCTTATGAACCTGATATTGTCTCAAGTAGGAACCTGCATGGATCACTAAATCCCTATTAGATGCATGTGTGGAAGTCGGTGTTTGTTTTGTTCAACTTCTCCTGAAAGGTTGGGTGTACCTCTAGAGAGAAAATAAGCCACATTTATGTTAGAAGCTGCCTGGCAGCAAGATCAGTGACTTTTATCAATCACCATAAAATAATGATCAGTGCAGAATTTCTCACTCTTTCAAAGAACACTGAAAGCTAGCTGGTACCAAGTCAAATTAGCGCACTCGGGCTTTGAAGACCAACACTTCTAGGGGAGGTTACACACACATATTTCATTACTGCTAATTGCTGTAAAAGTAGTTAAAGCTGTCAAATGAGTGTTTTATTTTCAAAGGGGTCGTCATATCACAGGAAATATATTAGGCAAGATCATAACATTGTGATTCATTCTTGACACTTTTTTAATCAAATCCCTTGTACAGAATAATTTACCGAGTGCACACATGAGCAGGTCTGCAGAGCTGCATGAGAAATAAAGTCTGTGTCACTCTTGGAGACCGAAATGAGATTCACCTCCCCAAGGTACCTGCAGCTATCCTCTGCACACAGATGCTGTTGCCTGGACTTTGCTGCCCCAAACCCCCTGAGGGCAGCCTAATGAGTACATTCTTGAGCTTCTGTTTACATTTCCCAACCCGGTGGTTTTCATGACATCTGTAATTATGTTCTGAACCGGGTCTTCCCTTTTGGCCCTGTTGGTTCGCAGCAGCCCTCGGTTCCCACCCACTGACAAGCACTTGATTTAGAGTCCACCATGGTGGTAGTGATTTATGCCTCGGCTGATGATAGGTGTGTACATATTGTTTTGTCGATACGGCTAAGACAGCTCAAGGTCACTGGACGGTTAGTATTCAATTACAGCGTCTTCCTGGAAAAGCAAAACTGTCACCACACATCCCAGCTGATTCCATCAGATCTTAAGAAGTTGAGACTTTGTGCTGCTCAAGTCAAAGTTTACAATCATGAAAGGGTGCGTACCCCTTGGCAGGAAACATCGGGCTGGATTCCATCTAGTCGAGGCTATTTCTTAGTCAGAGCGCCATGCTCTGCACTTCATTAGCCAAGATATTTTAAGCTTGCTGATTAGGAGAGATATAACTAATATTTCAGGAGAAATGACTTGTCTGAGACACTAAATAGAATCTTGCACAGCAGATTGTGATATAAGACAAAATCCGCTTACCTAGATTGTCGTTAAGCTATAGACTCTTTGATTTCAACTGGCAAGCTCTCTGCTGTTGCCATACTTCACACTAATCATGAACTCTCCTTCTCACTGTGAGCTGGTCTTATGTCTAGTAATCAGCCCTTAAGTGCAGGTGATTACAAAAAGCAGAAAAATCAGTGAACAATGTGGCCATTAATCAAACGCAGCAGGAGCTATAATATGTCATGCCCAATTTGTGGTGTAATAGTTTAACTTGATGAGAACTGCTCCTTAAAATTGGCTTAAAAATAAGCTATCCCTAAATATTTTAAATCCTAAAGTGATTTATCATTTCAGTGCCCCCTCCAGTTTGGAGGAGTGACACTAAAACATTAATAAAATCATCAGCTATAAAGGATGGGCGTTGCTTTTTGTGCGTTCCACAACCCACCAGCTGAAAGCATCCATCCCTTTTAATAGAATTTGAGCCTATTTGCCACAAACTAATGGAAAGGCTTTTAATATAAGAACTGTGAGGTAGTGCTGCGTAGTTTCTGAGATTGGTTTTATTGTTCATGTTGATAAAACGTAACACACAAGCTGCCAGCTTAAAAGAGGCTAAAGGAGTCATTATTCTAGTTATATGTTATTTGCTACAAATTGAGTTTAAGACGCTTGAATCCAGTGGTCAAAACACAAACCACTGCAGCTCTGCTAAAAGCCTCTTTCCTTCTTTGCTTTCATTTACAGTGGTTTGCAAAAGCACTCTTACCTACCTAAACTTCTTTATGTTAGTCACAAACTGCAAATTGAAAAAGAAGAATTCAGTCACATTCAGACAATTAGAAAATGTTTTCCAGTGAGGCTCTTTGGTTCAATTTAAAGTACTTCAGAGGTTTGTAACTGTTATTTTAATAGTTCAAACCACACATATACCTTAATATACATTAATACACACAGTGGAAATTGTCTTTCCACAAGCTCTACAGTATTAATTGTCTTCAGTCTTGGGGATACAACTAATTAGTGCCATTGAAAATGAGCAGTGCTCCGGGATTGGCTGCTTTGCAAATGGCAGCCAATAGTGTGTCAAGAAGCTTTGTGTTCAGGGATTTCAGCTTCCCAAGCTGATTTCTTCCTAATCTTTCAGACATGGGTAAATCTGAAAATAGGCAAAATTTTTCCAATTGATTTTAAATTACAGAAAAATCCATGTAGAGGTGAATCCACAAATACTGAACTGCAAATACAGGCAGAGGTTCACTATAGCCTCACGTCTTTTGGGTTTCAGTGTTTTTTGCTTATCCTACTTTGTAAAACATCTCAAACTTAATCATATTTGATAGAAAACAAGTCTTGCAACACATTCTTCATTGAGGTTTGGTCTGAACTTTGACTAGGCTATGCTTAGGGTCATTCCTAAAGTTCTGTCCTAGTCTGTACTCTTTTACAAACTCTAACAGGTTTCTCTTAGAGCACTGAACTACATTTAAATGATTTACCATCAATCATTGTCCTGCCTGCTTCCTTGTCCATACCGAGAAAAAGCAATGATGCTGCAAACACCACCATGTTTAACCATTTAGAAGGAGTGATCAGCTTAATGTGCAGAGCTAATTTTCCTTCAGACAAAGCATTTTTATTAAGTAAAAAAAAAAGTTTATTTTTAATCTCATCTGAGCACACTTCCTGTGAACCATCAATCTTAAAAGTCAGACTTGTGGTGAGCCAAGGCCCCCAGAGTTGTTGTCAGCCTGTTGGCTGCAGTTCCTTTCACTAGATGTATTTACACTCTTACCCATTAGCTGACTTCTGAAGAGAATAGGTAGTACTGCATGTTATTTAAGGGCATCAAAGGGAACAAATGCACACAACAGTTTTAAGATTTTTTTTAACCACCTATAACTCTCCTTCCACATCTTGGAAGTCTGCCTATCTTTAAAAATCCAAAGAAAATACTGATGATTGAAGTTGTAATGAGACGGATGTTCATTCTTATTCCTGATTGCACTTTCCACACTTAGCCGTGTCTGAGATTGACTCAAATGCTGCAAAACTGTCCATGCATGCTACTTTTAGAAGTGAAAAATGATGAGCATAAATCATGAATGACTTATTTACAGCAGTTTTTTTCTGCTTTGACTCAGAGAGGAAGAGAGAGACATGAAATATATCTGATAAACTGGGAGCCCTGGCTGTACATTATGAGCTGTCACAGGGTGAAAACTACAGAGAAGAGTTTATGAATGCTGAAACAGAAAACTACTACGCTAAATGATGCTATAAAGAAGGCTTGATGTTAAAAGAAGCTTTGCTTTGAACTGAGGAGTTGTCAAGCAAAAAACTTATACAAAATTAAGGAAAGCTTCTTAAAACTTACTTTTTTACATTAGGCCTTGTAAAAAAAATAATCAAATTAAACAAGTGAAATGTGTTTATGTTGAACACAATTGCACTGACTGTTGTATTTTGCTGCTATAATTGAGGTTATTTGGGTTAAATGTCTTCTGATGAGTGAAAGGAGCAAGACATGAACAGAAGTCTTTCATAGATATTTCAAATCATAATGAGAATGATCCTGTTAATTCCTTCTATTATAAATGACCAACACCATCTGTCTGAGAATGTGTTGTATTCACATTTCTTAAAATAAAAAAACAAAAAGCACAATGACTACAAAGAGGGTGCTGTCTATCAAGAACATGATGTTCACTGCATTTTCTTCCAGGACTTTAAGGCTTGGTTGTTACTTTGAATTATTTCAGATGACAAAAGCAAACTGTCGGTTCAGTCATGACTCATCACTGAAACTATTAGAAATATAAGAAATTATCGTGTGTTTCAGAAACACATCAAACAAGCTGCTGGTTAGAGATTTAAAGCATCTAAAGTGAGCCAGACTATAAAATTAAAGTAAAACAGTAAAACAAAGTTATAAGTGAGTCTTTTTCTCCCAAAGGGTTTAATTAAAATCCTATAAGATTTGATAGGACGGGTTTTGGGGGCACTGACTGAAACCGAGTTGGGAGAAAAGACATTTATTACACTTAAAGCTCGCTTCAGCTCATCTGTTGGGCATCATTCTGCTTTCTGAATCAGTGAATTTGACATCAGATTGTGCTGGTGGTCGCTGCGGGTCACCCACCTGCTCTCCAGGGCCACATTGCTGCCCAGCACCCAGCTGTCCTGCAGCTGGACGCATTCCGCCGTGCTCTGCAAGTCAGCCGCCAGGCCGGCTGTGGGTGGTGGACTCGGGCTCCGCTGGTTGGCCAGTGAGCTGCGGCTCAGGGAGGTGATGGACGGGTGCTGCTTATGTGGGGGCGGGGCAGGTGGGATGGGAGGCGGGGCCTGTTGACTAGTCAGATTGTCACCTAGACAGAAACATGAGAGACCGACAAGAGAATATCAGTTAACATATTCTTTAGGTAAATCAAAAGTGAAAGAAAAACGGTGCGTTTGCTTTGATTGAATATGCTAAGAGAGCTGAGAAACGACAGATGGTTGAGGTATGCATACCTTCTATACACTACATGATGGGCTTATGGCAACTTAACAGACCAAGAAAAGCAAATATAACCAAGAGCAAGACATAAAAATGAGATGCAACCACCGCAAAAAAAAAAGGCTGTTTTTATGAAGACACACATAATAATTGTCACAAAACACCACACGGCTGACAGTTGGGTTCTCTTAAACAGAAGGTCACTTAGAGAGGCAGCTGTTCCTTTATGGGCGCTTAACGCAATGCTTCACGTTTGATTACAGCCAGAGAAGACTCTCAAATAACTAATGACCAGAACATCCATTAGGGCTCTGAAAGAACAGGTTTTCCAATTTCACACAAAGCTGTGTAATTGGCCCCCAGAATGGCATGTGGTGATTATCTATCCATCTTGCCTGTTTAAAAGGTAAAAACCCACAGTGCTGACAATTCTGATTTGCTCCAATGAGCCCCAAATGGGTATCATCTTTCCTGCCTTACAGAGGCTTGGAGAATATTGAGAAAGCCCGGAGCTGTGCCGTTTTAAGGAGCTTCTGTTGTTTTTGCATTGACAGCCTGAATTTTTACAAAGCCTAAAGGAGTTTAGAGTTACAGCAAATATGTACACTGAAGGTCAGCGCATGATTTAACCTTTGCTTCCGCAGGTGTGTGTCTGCATCTGTGTGTGTGTCTGCAAAGACCAGAAATCCGCTCTGTGCTGCCAGCTGCACAGATCGACTCACTGAAAGGACACAAGCCATTGTTTTGAATGGGGTCCTTTAATGGCCGTGCAGTTTGTATCCTTGTGTGTGTGTGTGTGTGTGTGTGTGTGTGTGTGCGCGGCTCGGCTTTTCAGAGTGCCCTTCTGTGCATGAAACGAGCTGTTCAGTGGAGGCAAATGAGCCGTTTGGTACCACACAGCTAGGAGGAAACATGAATGCCACTCGGAGCAAGGCAATCATTTCCTCTGCTTAGAGGGAAAAACCTTCAGGCTTCTGTACGGGCAACCAATTAGTACCAATATGGACTCCCTTCTCATGTTTAATATAGGAGGACATAGAAAACGTAGCATGAGGAGCAGTGGAGTAGAAATAGTTTCTGACAATTATACTATATTGTCTGAGTAATTTACACTGTACCAGTACTGGGCAAAAAGGCTTTTTAGACGGTGAACTGTTAAAGTATTCAAACCTCCTGAAACTTTGTTTATTTTATCACATTGATAGAACAAATTTCTACAAGTTTTTTTTTTTTATGGAATTTTATAAAACATCCAATGATGCAATCCTGAAAACATTCCCTGTGCTGACTGAGGAAAAGCATCCCCACAGCATGACGCTGCCAGCACCATGCTTCACCACGATATTCAGAGTAATATGCAATGTTTTTCTTCAAACACACAATTTAGGAGTTCGAACTTGCATGAACAAAAAAAGAAAAAAAAAGATTGCATGTGCAGAAGTGGTACAGACTGCCCCATGTTTAGATGGGGATTTTTTTTGTGATCCTGGTTGTCATGGAGAGGATCAGAGAGCGGAGCGTCAATAAAAAAGAATGAAGTAGAAAGTCATAATAAAATAATGATAATAATGCATTTCATTTAAATAAGCATACAGTGTGGTACACAGTAAAAACATTTAACATTTAAAGCAAAGCTCTAGATCACTGTATTTAACTGGTTTCTTTAATCTGTTCCATACAGACAGATTTTACAAGCACAGTTTGTGGAACATGCAGCAAAATAATCATTATCTGTGTCGCACTCCTGCAGAGTATCAAAACATAACAGTCTGATGCCAGAAAGTTATGATGTGCTGGAATTATTCCGTAATCCTGCACCTCAAATTAACATAGCTGGAGGATATTTTTAACCTATTTTTTCATTATTTCATATTCTTCTATTGTTCCAAACATTTGACAAACAGTGTTTTCTGTTGTTGTATCTATGTTTCTTGCTTGTCACAATGACCACAAACATGTCTGCACATTTTAGATGGCAAGTCATTACATTAACATAAACTCCTCCCAGTATTTTGAACTTTCTGATGATCTGCATATGTTTTGCATATGATGACACATGTTGCATGCTGCTTAAAGATCAGGTTTGCAAATGCTAGTGAGTTTGCAGTTGATCTTGTATGTGCTAATCTTTTGCAGATCAGCCCCGTAGCATTTTTCATATCAGACAAAAAGTTTTCGTTTCATTTTAGAAAAATCTAAAAGAGAGCATCTTATGTTACAGTGACTTTTTTCTTTCCACTATTTCAGAAAGGAGAACTGGACTGCAACACTAATAATTGTCCTTTTGGCAGATTCTTCCACCTGAGCGTACATCCCTGAAGCTCCTCCACAGGCACCATAGTTTCTGTGACCTTCCCCAGTCTATTGGTTTAACTGGATGTCCATGTCTGTTTAAATCATGGACTGAACAGAGATCTGTGAGGATTTCAGAGGTTGGGAAGTTGTTTTATCATTTCTGTCTGAACTGCCTCCTTTACCTCCAAGATGCTTGTTTGTTCAATAATGTTCTCTCTTAAACCTCTGAGACCTTCACAAAACATCCTGGATTTAAATTATTCACAACGGAACTATGTTTATTAATCGGGAGACTTCCAAAGGCAACTGGTTGCTATGAATTTTTCAGGGAAAAAAGGACATTCCATACATTTTGCATACCTGTGGAAAAACCTGAAGACAATGCATACATTTTCTTCTATATGAACTGATTTGTCTGGGCCGACATAATAAAATCCCAACAAAATAAGAAAGGTTCCAGTGGTTAAGATTTATTTTGCACAGCATCACATGTATATTCCTCCTTGCAGACCCAGGGATGAATAGATTGCTAGACAGAAACGAGAGTAACAAGAATCCACAGCTCTAGTGCAGAAGGCCAATCAAAGATTAATTACGTCCTGACTGCAATTACACAGCAGCAGCATGGGGCCATAAATTCCATAAAAGCAAAATCATCAGAAGCAAATGAAGGTTGTTATTTTTCCCTCCTTTTTGTGAACTGTGATTAGAGTTTTATCAAACCCAATCAAACATGATCCCTTCAGCACCCCACGCCACCGTGTTCAAAGCCAACGCTGATATCTAAATTAAGCATGAATTACCAGAGATCAGTTGCAGTGCTGGCATTTGAAAAATATAAGAGTGCCATGACTTGGTGATAAGGAATACAAGACATCCACTCAGCTCCTGGGTGAGATGGGAGCCCTATTAGAGAAATGCTTAGTAGGCTGATGGAAATGGAAGTTATCTACCAACTCTGGCTTCTTTTACTTTTTCCTCCAGGCAGTATGGAGCCTGCAGCACCCATGGGCTCAGCTTCACTTCCAGCTGCAACATTTTTCATACAACAGTAAGCAATGGAGATGGAAAATTGAACTATGTGGTAGAAACTGGTTAAAGAAAATTAAGGTAAGGGTGGATACTGACATTCAGAAAGTGTTTTGTTATGAGAAAAATGTGCTCATCCCATTCAAAGTTCAATTAAAATTCTTTTCTTTATGAAACTCTGGTATTTTTTTTTCTTTTCACACTAACATATTCAATAAAAAGTCCCTGAAAACAGCCTACCTTCCCATAAGCCATTACAAATAAAGATACATGGCAGATATTGAACAAAACTGTATCCATTCATCTCAGTGTTTACATATCGATCTCAGCATCTTGATTGCCCTTGTTTCGTCTGCTGTGGCCCCAGGAGCCTGAAAATGCAGCACAGCCAAGCCTCAGAGCCACAACAAAAAACAGAGTTTGCATCACAGGTGCATTATGTTTGATGGGAATAGAGCGTGAAGGCTTTCACTGTGAGACACTTTATGATGAACTGAGATGCTAAAATTCTTGAACTGTTGCATGAAATGAGCTGTTTTGTTGCTGAGGACACACACTGAAAACAAGGTTCTAAACACACAATAAACCTTCCAAAGAGTGGGATGTGACATGCAGTAAATCTGAGCGTTTAATCTCACTATAATGTTGGAGGAGTGTGACTTCTCAGAAAGTGCTGTATGCACAGGTACGCAAAGCAACACTAAAAACTCTAATCTTTCTCTTTAACTTATCCTTGGTACACTGCAAAAAACAATTTCTAGTGGAAATGTCAGAGTACCCCTGAAATCAGACAAAACTAATTTACAGGAATCTTTTCAGTAACATACAGGAGCTTGTTTTAACTAAATAATTCCTAAGTATTGATAAAAAAAAAGTAGTTTAACTGGCAGATTATTTCATTGATAACACTTTTTTCCCATCAAATGAAAATGTTAAATGGTACAGATCCCATTATAACTGTAATAATTTACAGTTTCACAAATTGTTGGCCAATCTTGATCAAGTTTGCACAAACAAGGAACCTGAATGTGGTTTGCAAACACGCAGCGTATCGGCACAACACATGAATATGTAAACTTTAGAGCAGGGGTCCCCAAACTTTTTCCTGCGAGGGCCACATGACTGTTCCCTTTTCTGGTCGGGGGCCGGTCTTAGTTTTTCGAGAAAGAAACCTTAGAAAAGTTTTGTTGACGGGGGGGCGGCGGCGGCGGCGGCTGGATTACTGCCGACGACATATTAGCGTTTGTAGATAGATTTTTACCCAGAATGCAAATGGGAAAAAAAAACCGTGAGCGAAACGGTGACTGGTACTGACTAGAATATATTCCATTGAGAGAAACTAAGTTTCATATCTGCTCAAGAGCGCCCCTGGTGGTTGAAGAAAAATCCACATATATATGAAAAAAAACACTGAATGCTCTCTGGTATTGTTCAGGGGGCCGGACCAAATGAGGAGGCAGGCCGGATCCGGCCCGCGGGCCATAGCTTGGGGACCCCTGCTTTTGAGGAACTAAAATAAGTATAAAAGATTATATACAAATATTT